CAAGGAAGTCGATGGTTGCTGTCGGATATCTGCCCTTGTTGCGACTTGCGTGTCATCGAGGAACCAGACAATAGAGGCTGCGTAGATGAACGGGTAGATTTTGAAGTGCACTGCGAACCCGAGCAAGAACCCAGTAAGTGCTCTTTGCTTTGCCAACACCGCCCAAAGCAATGCAGTCACGAATACTCCAAGCAGTCCCTCGGAGCTACCTCTTGTACTGATAGTGGCCACCATTGGATTCAGCAGCCAAATGCTGGCAAATTTGAGGGCTCGCTCATTGCTCATCTTCTTGTACTGTTTCAAAATACGAAACATCATCCACCCTGTAGCGACATCGCCGATGGCGAACAGGACCTTTCCGAAAGAAAACCAGAATTGCCCAGACCATACAGTAGGGTAGATGAGCCACGCCAGGAGGGGCGTATAACGATACGTGTCCCGTGCGTAAGGGGATTGGCCGCGCGAGATGTAGCGCGCAGCATCCGTGAAGACATAATAGTCAATGTCGGTGTATTTCATAGGTGAATTCGCATCCTGCCAGAGTCCATATAACAGGAAGACAACTCTTAGGACGATTGACGTTGTGAAGACCAGTGGTGGACTGCGAAAGAAAAAGAAAAGAGCCATGTTGTCTCCGGCATTACAAAAGCCAAGTTGACCAGACAAGACGCTGAAAAAAGCGAACCCGATGATAGGAGGATCGGAACTGATCTCGCTGGGTGGTGTGTTGATGAAACCCTACAGGATGGACTCTCCGGGAGTGAGGGCAGCCGAAAGCGCCTTAGTCCGTAAACGCGATAGCGTCCACGTGAGGACGTGCACTAGCGGACAATCCCAGCGTTTGCCTGACGTTGAGTATAAGCTCACCATCCACGCAGATTCATGGGCCTCAAACGACCGAGAGACGCAGCAATGGCGGACGAGAAGCCAGAGCAATCTCAATCGCCCTTTGTGTCGATGTTCGAAGGCTTCCGCGCAGAGCTGGATGAACACCATGATCGACGAGAGAGAATCATCAAGGCGTCCCGTGACATCACCGCGTCGAGCAAGAAGATGTACTAGGCAATGTTCGAGGTTCTTGTAGCCGATTGCTAACAACTGTGCAGCATCTTCACTCTCCAGAGGTAGGTCTTCATGATGGCCTTACCAAACACACACTGACCTGACAAGGGTCCGCGCTGTTGGCCAAGCAGTACCGCCATGGGTCACCGAGAAGAATGCGGAGTACTGGGAGACGATTGAAGATCGCTACAAGAACATCGCCGCCGACCTTCAAGGCCTGAATGCCTACCGCTACTCGCACAACATCACGGGCGGCAATCAAGAGTTCATGGAAGCGCTTAGCTTCCAGCATTACCTTGAAACACAATCACTGATCTCGTACAATGAAGCCAAGGCCCGTATCGCTGCTATGAGCGGCGAAGCTGGACCTATCTCCTTTACGCCAGAAGACTACATTCTCGGTGTCTGCGATATGACTGGCGAGCTGATGCGTTTCTCTGTCACGAGCATGGCGACAAACGGCAAACTTCCGTCTGGCAAGCAAGCAGAGGCGAACAAGAGGCTGAAGCAAGGTAATGGCCAAGACGATGCTGGCGACAAGATGGACATCGACGAGGAAGCATCAGTTGCGAATGAAAGCCAGAAGCCGCGGACTGTCTTGGATGACCTGAGGGCGATCCGGCTGCAGCTCGAGATGCTCGACGCACCGGGAGGGTCCAAGTTTGCAGCAGAGTTGGAGACGAAGAAGATGCCCGTGATGCGCGAGTGCGTGGACAAGGTAGAGAAGGGTCTCTATGGTTTGACTGTGCGTGGAAACGAGCGTCCCAAGGGCTGGATGCCAGATATGAGCAGTGCCAGGGAGGTAGAAAGTTACTGAGCCAGACTACCAAGGCGAATGAAATGCAAGATATCATTCCTGTGCAGTTGTTCCGGTGTGGCTGGGTGGGTGGCGTGGCGCACCCCACTTGGCGTGGGCATCATGGTGCGGTGATGCAGGCCCGAACTTCACACGCCCGTGTCGGTGACAGTGACACCAACGACTATGGTCCTCTGCACCATGCCCAAGACTGATGACCTCGCTCCCGCGCTTCGACTGGCCAGCGCAAATCTAATGCGCACACCCTGAAATCCTGCGTCGACACCCATGGCACGTACTGGCGCCCAACAACAAACCCGCACTTAGCCCTGCTCCAGCCGGAACCGTGGTTCATCAACCAAGCTGCCTACTACTCCCATCCGCGCACCGCCATAGCCGATCGCTACTACACCCTCACTACCCGCGGCTGCGAGGCACATCGGCGATAATCATGCGTCGCAGTACCTGCCCCTCGCGGCCTGGCAAGCCCGAGGCCGCCACGCGCGCACCCGAGCCACCGAAGCGCAAGGTATTCAACTGCATCGTCGACGATACCGCTCTGATCGCCGGCGTCAAGAAGAGCACCCGCGATGGCATCCGCAAGTGGATCGCCCAGGACGCTATACGTCTTTATGTCCCGCTGCACAGTAGGCCATAGCATCGCAGCTTCCCTGTCCCCTTGACTAACGCACAACAAGCCCTTACCCAGCTCCACCGCCTCAAGAACGGCACTGAGCGCATCCACGCCGACGCCCGCGAAGCCGTCAAGTGGCTCGACGAAGTCACGTCCAATGAAGCCGCGAGCCGTGTCCAGCTCGAAGGCGTCGACGAAGCCTACACGACGTGGGGAGAGGTGGAGCACTTCCTGCTACCCGACACATTGCTCTCCATGGAGGATAGCGAGTCGGACGAGGACGACTACCACGAGGATCTCGAAAGCTCCTTCAACGCCCTCGACATGTCCGATGGCACATCCATCAGCTCTACGCACAGCTTCGAGAACGTGTCCAAGACTCCCGAGTCGCCTGGTTCGCGTTCGAGCACGGCGTCCGGGCCTGTCGACGCCACCCCACACACAGACAAGGCAGCCACGCTACTCAGAGCGTCCCCCGACCGTACCGCACGCAGCAGTACCGACATGGCTCGCGCTGACAAGACGACCAAAGGCTCCGTGCCTGTCTATCTCCAGCCCCTCTTCAATCACATCATGTGGCGCATCAACAAGGAGGGCAATCCAGATGCGGCCCTGGAGTCCTTCATCCTCCTCACCAATGATTCTGCCAAGCAGGCCATCGCTCAGAAGTTCGGCATCCGTGCTAAACGCCTTGAGCAGCTCCGAGATGCTGTTGCTCGTGAAGACCGCGAATACAAGAACCATCTGACCATCCACAAGCTAGAGGTCGAAGCGACCGCTGCTAAGAGCGCCTCTCCAATCGCACCCAAAGCCGCAGAGCGACCCAAGTCCAGCCCCATCCACACGAACGTAAACGAGACTAAGCCCGAAGACATCTCCGATGACGAGGACGAGGTACTTTTCAAGCGCGCCCCTCGAGGCCCTGCCGCCACTACCGGCAACCAACACGTCTTCGACCCCAACGATTTTGCTCGCACAAACCAGCAACAGTCCCTTCGCGGTGGACGTGGAGCTCATGCGGCGCCCCGCGGTCGCGGTGGACCAGCCTTCCGGGGCCGTGGTAACTTTGCATCGCGCGGCGCATACGTTCCTCCAGGCCCAGTCTTCCGAGCTCCACCAGCTCCTCGACATGATCCGAATGCGCCTCTCGATCCAGACTCTTTCTCTCGCCCTGCCCCCAAAGTGGGCCCCGTTCGCGGCGGTGGACGGCGAAAGCTATGGGAGCCCAACTAGCAAACCGAAAGATGAGCGTCAGTAGCAACGCAGTAGTCGAAATTCACAACGCCGCCATCGAACGGAACGTTGAACACGATCAAGACACGAGCCATCAGTACACAAGGGGCTTTGAGCAGGATAGGACAGGTACTGGACAGTACGGTGACCTCGCGGCCCCTTAGTCTACATCACATCATGTCAACGCTGAGCAGAAAATGAGCGCAGGTCTTAGCAACTGGTCCAACGGAGCATCATGTCCCACATCCTTCCACTCACAGTCAACCCAGAGCTGTCGCTACATCTAACGACTTGACCGGGTCGACTACACTTTTCAAGGGCATACCTTCTTATTGGGTTTGTTCTCTACGAGCACTCTCTCCTTGTGTGGTTTTGCACTCATTCTTGCTTTACAATAAAATTGCACAATTGCCTCGTTCGCTACATGGTCATGGTACTTCTGCCGCCCATTTACGGCTAAGAATGTTACCATCCACTTCGAACGAGGTTCTAATATATGCTTTACCGCCTTCTTGTACGCCTGTCTGTGAGACTGAACGATAGTCTGCCGTAGGAAGCGCGTGCGGGATAAGGGAAGAAACGCCATAGCTATGATCAACTAGGAATAAATGTTTTGTTCTTGGAGGTTTCCACTCGCATGATAGGCTTGATGTCTCTTCGTGAAGTATCGTCAGATTAACTATATAGACACGAAAGAAAGGGCCACACGCCTCGTTCTCTCCTGCAGTACCATATTAATGCGCAAGAGAACGTGCATACCTAGGTGCCACGGGCGGCTACGTTATTATCCAGTTTGCTGCCTGCTCTAAACCTGATGTATTACAGTCTGTCAAGTAGCAGCATAATTAGTATTTATGTAACGGTTCAGTTTCGTGCTTGCACAAAGGAACATGAACACATCAGTATCGAGAGAGCAGCATGTATTTGAAATTATACAAAGAAGAGATAGACACAAAACTCTCTCAAAAACAAGACAAATGGCTATTTTCGCCATTCAAACCCCTACTTCAATCAATTTACTCCCTCGTACCCCTTAGCAACCTTCCAAAAGCACTTTGCCTTTTCCTCTTCAGTTCGTTGAAGCTACCCTGTTCAACCACGCTTCCTTGATCCAACACAACAATGTGCTCAGCAATAGCCATCATCTCCCGCACATGCGTAATGATGATGACCGTCATCCGTTTCTTCGGTCTGTTGCCCTTATTACTACCACTACCCAGAGTCATCCGCTGCTTCAGGGGATATCCAACTTTGTAATCCCAATTCCCCTCTATCTCATCCCAAAACCAACCTGAACGGCTCCAGGGTGATATGGGTGGGGAATATGGTGGATCCAGTGTCTTCGATGCCGTGAACGAGACTGAGGATGGTCTCGCGGATGATCTGAGCGGAAGTTACGTCTAGCGCGCTCGTTGCTTCGTCGAGGATACGCACATCGGGGTTTCTAACGGGGGCGCGTGCGATCGAGACGCGTTGAGCTTGGCCTCCGGATAGACATGTGCCGCCTTCGCCGATAGGCGTGTTGTAGCCTTGGGGCAGGCTGTCGATGAACTCAGCTATGTCAGCTGCGGAGGCGGCTGCGCGGATGCTTTTGATGCTTGTTTCGGGAAGGAAACGGGATAGGCCGTAGGCGATGTTTTCTGCGATAGTGCCGGGGAAGAGGACGGGCGTTCGTGATACTATGGCCATCCGGGAACGGAGGATGGTAGTATGCAAGGTCTTGATATCGTAATTCGAGACGGTCATATCGCCTGACGGGTTGGAGGATGCGAGTGAGTTGTTTCCTATTTGGTAAAGCTTGAGGAGGAGAGAGGCAATTGTAGATTTGCCTGCCCCCGAGGATCCGACCATAGCGGTGCAGCTCCCTTGTCGAATTTGGAACGACACTTCATGCAGTACTCAAATCTTAGGCCGGGCTGGGTAAATGAAGGTGACCTTGTTTAGCGAGATGTCATCTGCAAACTGTATCTGAATTTCGCCGGTGAGCTCGTGTGAGTCCTTTGGTAGTCGTGCGAGACGTAGTAATCGTGACCCAGCATCCCTTGCCATGTTGACCTGAGTGACGTAGTTCGCCATATAGCTAACTTGATTGACACTAAGCATGAGAACCAAGAAGCATTCCAACACTTCATTGGCAGTGTACTCATCTTTCGACATGAGATAACCTCCATACCAGTATAGCAGGATAGTTACGAAGATGGCTCCAGTGAATGAAAGTCCGTCAATGGATGCACAGTATATTGCGCGCTTGATGCCGACATTTACGGCTTCGGCAGTTGCGTTGGTATACATTTCCTTGAAGTAATCTTCCAAAACTAGGCATCGAACGGTCTTGATACTGACGAACGCGTCCTGGAGCACTTGACCAACCTTATCAGCGGCCTCATTTTCCAATCTTTCCCAGCGGCTGCTGATAACGTTGTAGCACTTCGTGATTACGAAGAGAACAGGACCGGTTGCGAGAGCAGCTAGGGCCAACTGCCATGCTATGACCATGCTCCAAAAGATAGAAATACAAACCATAAGATTCATAGTGAGAAAGACACAAGCAAACCGGCCTGGAAGATTTCGGGCCTCTTCAGCAGAGTGACCCAACATCTCGGCAAGCCGCGACACGCTGTTTTCTTCCTTGTCGAAGAACTTCCGTGGTTGCATCAGGATGCGCCGCATGGCTTCCTTCTTCAGCGAAAGAGTCCACGTCTGCGCTACTGTATCTGAGAGCAAGAAAATGAAGTAGCACGATAAACCATCGAGAGCGGCAATACCAAGAATGACGAGGGCGTATTTTTGGGACATTTCCTTCCTAGCGCCAGGCACGTAAAAAGTAGTCAAAAGCTGGGCGAAAACCCATGCAAATACTGGTTTGCATGCAGCATGAATCGTTGCGCTGAAGGATGCCGCTAGAATGAGGAGACGCGGACCCCAGACTATAGCGGGCCATACAGACATGACTATCTCTTTCATAGGAAGAGAAGCGGCCGGGAAATCCTTGTCTTCACTAGGGTTCTTGTTGCGGAAGCGTTCGATTCTCTGAAGAAGCTTATCGTTTCTCGAAGATTTCTTCGGTGCGTCCGAAAGAACTGGGACAGACTCGTTGGTCGCAAAGGGTCGCGAGTACGGACCGATCGGCGAGACTGGTCGCGTAGATAGTTTAGGGTCTGAACGTGAGCTATGTTCTTTTGAAAACGACAGAGAGCGTCTGTGGAGATTCGACCTTGCAATAGGTCTCGAGCCATGGTTTTTCCATAAGATCCTTTTCTTGACAGGAGACGGCATAGACGGGAGATGTTTCGATGCCACAGAATCTGGAGATGCTTGATTCGTCTCAATGGGCTCCATCTTACCGCCTCTATCAGCCGTCTGTTCATGGATGGATAGCCTTGGGCCTGGGCCTACATCGACCGGTATAGTACAGCCCCAAGACGCGCAGGTATTCTCAGAATAGGTCTCCAGCACTGACTGTCCAAAGTGAACAGCAGATAGCGGACGTGTCATAGAAATGATCCGGGCTGTCCGTGACTCCTCGTGTTCCACATTGCCGTCACCAGCTTCAGGCCCCCAATAGGAGTCGTCCTCATGATCATCAGACTCATCGTCTGTGTCAGCCTCGGTGTGCGTATCAAGACAAGACTGAAAGATCCATTTTGTGACTCGAGCTCTTTTCGACACCCCTGTTGTACTACCCGGGCGTTGTCCAGCAAGTACAGGAAGTCGTTGGGTCGGATCTGCAAGATGTCATGGGTAATGATAATCGTTGTCTTCCCTTTCCGCCAGCTTCGTATAGCGTCAAGCATCTCGGCTCGTGTAACGTAATCAAGAGAACTGGTTGATTCGTCCAGGATCAGCACCGGCGAGATCCCAATCCTAGCTTGAGCTAGAGCCATTCTTTGTCTCTGCCCTCCACTCAATGAGCCACCCTTCATGCCGAGTTCAGTATCCAGTCCATTGGGAAAGCTCTCCATAACAGGTTCTAGCATAGCAAACTTGACTGCATTGCGGATATCTTGCATATCCACTGCATCACCTAGCTGACCAAGAGCGAGATTGTGGCGGATAGTATCATTGAACAGCACGCTGTGCTGCTCAACAAGCATGACTTTCTGTCGTAACCATTTGACGTCCAAATCTTCGAGTGGAACGTCATCCAGGAATATCTGTCCTGAAGAAGGCCGATAGAAGCGGACGAGAAGTTGTGCTAGTGTGCTCTTTCCGGAACCCCTTTTGCCGACGACAAAGGTCGTCTCTCCAGCCCGGATTAGAAGCGAAGCATCTCGAATGACAGTCTCGTCTGCGCGTGAAGGATATGAGAATGTGACCTGGTAAATAGTTAGTAAGGAGCATCGACGCGGCGTGAGAAGCATTACCTTTCGAAACTCGAGCTGGCCCGTACATCTCTCAGGCCGCAGTTTGCCTTGCGATTTGAATTGCTGATCGCTCGTTGAAATCAACTTCATAAGCACACTTAATTTTGCACCGGCCATCTTTCTTTGCTGCAATACAATCAGCTGAGGCATTATCTGGGTCATCCCAGACATTGCCATAAGTGCTGCCCAGAACGTCATGAGGACCTGTTTTGGGTCACTTTCCCCGGTTTCGACGAGGTGACTACCATACCAGAATCTTTGAACAAAATCGCTGATCGTAAAAAATTGCATAATGCCGATCTGCATAGAGCGGAAATTGCCCACGCTTCTGTATAAGCTCGCTGCAATCGTGACGATACTGGTAAAGACGTGGAGTTCGTATCTTTCCCCGTTGAAGCATTTAACCGTCTCAATACTTGTCATTGCAGTCGTAATATATTTCAGTGCCGACTTCAAGTTCTCGGCATGCTCGTGTACTCGTAGTGACAACCGCTTTGCCACTGAGGATTGAACCAAGTATAGAACTGGTATTGTACACAATACGACCAATGTTAGATTCCACGAATAGTAAAAAGCGACCCCCAAGGATCTTCTTTAGCGAACGTATTTCTACGGCGATTCCGATATTAGAGTGGCACCTACATCTGTACTATCGGCAGAAATGCGGCGATTCCATCCTCCCGCGTATCGATCCAAGCCATATCCTTTTTGATAAGAGCATCGAAGATTCTGTTGCGGGCACTCCTCGCCTGGAGCTCTCCGAACCTGAGAAAGAATAGATAGTAGAAACTATCGGCAATCCAGTTGAGTGTTGCGAGAGCGGTAAGAATTACGCAGAACCTGGCCATGTTGCTCATGAGTTGGCTGCTGCTTCTCGATCCTTCGCCATGGCTTGTGTATTGACCAGATACGAGACCGTAGAGGATTGCGAAAGCGGGCATGGACAGCGCAGCGACGGACGCCATCGCAATACCGCCAAGCAGTGCGGGCATATGCTGTTTTGTGGCGAAAGTGAACAACGTCCTCCATCCCACGTTCGTTATATAATCCTGATCCTCATCATTCAGAGACGGCGGCTTTTCGGAACGGGCGGTCGCGTTTGGATTAATCATCGTCACCATCTTGACCACTCGCCGGCAGCGACTGCGAAAAGAGAGTGTAAGGTGGTGGAATCGACAAAAGGTAAGAGCGACCCAAAGAGATGAAGTGAGAACAGAGAATAGGGAATTACCACATATGGACTAGTTTGTGGCGGCCATGTGGTCGTAGCCCTGGAAAGATGGTTTCCGCGCACCTGCTTTCGTCGCTTACTTTGTCTTTCCTTGACGTTGTTCTCCAGCCACCAATCGCCGCCTTCACGAAAAGCCCAAAAATTGCATCCACTCATGCGATCACTTTAAAACGAGATGAAACAGTGGCTTCCTCCGCGCAGGTCATCAGCGGATGGTGAGCTGAGAGCGACACTCCCGATTCAGCGCTTTGTTGGTCTTGTAGTTGACATGCACAGTATAGGCCGGCAACTGACGAAGATTACATGTTCACCAATACGTCAATTACCAAGCCAATATGGTACTCCACCGATGATCCAGTGGCTTGCATGACAGATATTCATAGACGGTCATAGCTGGGCGGCCGACAAAGAACGTGAGCTCGTAAGCGACGAACAAGTGACGGGCCGGATGTCGGCAATGCAGCCGCGTATTGGCGTCCCTTGCGAACAATAACTTGGAATTTAGAATTTCCAGGATCATCCTGCGGCGAACTACTTGCCCTGCGCCTTCTCGTATATCCAGTCATTCAGGCCTTCTCGGTTACTGCGCATGTCAGCATTGGGCGCGCCGCTATATCCAGGGCGTAGCTTACCGTGCGATTTCAATAGCGTAGAACTGCATTCGAACAGCGAATATTGTGCCTTCCTGGCTGTATTCCATTTTGGGACTTGCGCGCAGCATTGTGCCGAAGTTGTAGTCCTCGACCTTCTTCTCGTACTCACTGATGAACTTGCGCCATCGCTCCTTCCCCTCCTTGCTCTTCATCTCATCCTCGTTTAGTGTGGCTGATGCGTCGAACTCGGGGAATTCCGTCTTGAGGTGTTCGTAGATTTCGTCGTCGATCTTGGTGAGTCGCAGCTTGGAGCCGGGTACTTTCTCGAGGATCTTCCAGTATGTTTCCATGTGCTGCACAACTGTGTGATACTGTCAGCATGGTCGCGACCGGCAGGTCTCGTGATCTGTACCTTTGACCGCGAACTGCTTCTCGATCTGTAGACGCTGTTAGCGATGACTGTCGACGCGCTGGCTTTGGGGTACCTGCATCCTCAAAGTTCTCAGTCTCCTCTGGATTGATGCTCGTGCCTAGTGGGCCTGCGAGAGACATGTTGGCGATTTTGCTAGGGAAATACTATCTATGGGTAGTTTGAAGTGAGAGTGTAGAGAGTGATGTGGGTGCTTGTAGCAGCAATCAGCGCGGTGAAGGTCGACAAAAAATCGCGGAAACGCACTCCGTCATTGCCCCGCCACGCCCGCCACACTTCGCGGGGCTGACTCAACCCCAATTTTCCCATCATGAACACCAACCTCACATATGATTCTGGCGAGCCAATGTTGCCAACTCTACACGTGAGTCTGCATTGCACCGAGCCAGACAGCAGCTAATCACCGCAGCATGAATGCATTCGCGTACCAGTGACAGCACTGGCCTCTTGCGGCGCTCTGCTGATCGCTGCAGAAGGCCCCTTTTTACGCTTCCACCATGCCAGCGACTCGCGGTACATCTCTTCGGAGCGCGTCTTCAAAGCTCAAGCAATCCATGGAATACGCGTCTTTTCGGAAGAGCATGCGCACGTTATCAAATTGGTCATCTGGGGTGGAAGACTGGTCCGCGCCCTCGAGATTGACTTTGCAGATCAAGTTGGCCAACAAGGCCTGAGCCTATGTTTCTCCAACGTCGCGAAAGCTTCAGATTGGATTCTTGATCTCGCTCCTCGTCCCAAAGGCCTGGATGACGATGCTCAGTACCACAAAGGATCCTGCATTGCTGTCACTGCTCATAACGCACTGCTGCACGTTGAGATGGAACAAAGGACGTCGGACGACTTCCACATGACCAAGTGCGCATACCACACATTGATCCGTTGGAGTATCATTTTCTTGCTGACATTTTGATTTCAGTTACATTGATGTAGCTGTATCTGATCTTACTTCAAGTTCTCGATCTATCCTCTACTCCGCTCACCTGTTCTGGGAGAATCTAAACCAGGTCCTCGTTGCTGCTGGTACAGCGTTCGGTGAAATTATATACTGGTCATGGTCCGACAATGGCGGCGGTGGATCCGCCTCCCGTATTCATCGCGTCTTTTTGGGTCACGAGGGCTCAATTTTCGGGGTCCAGATTTCGGAAGAGCTACCCACCGAATGTTGTCAAAGACTGAGGCGGGTGGTAGCAAGCTGCAGCGATGACCGCACAATCCGAATATGGGACGTATCGGATGTGAACACTAGTGCCACTACCTCGGAAGCTCATAGCAATGACTTGGAGATTCTGAGAACTCGTCATACCGGCTTTACCAACGAAGCTTTCGACTCAAATGAGTTTAATAGCTCGAGCTGTCTCGCCATCGGGTGGGGTCATCTTTCACGCGTTTGGACGGTCCGCTTTCTCGAAGCATCGCCATGCAATGGATCACTGTTGCTCCAGTCTGCCGGTGAAGATGCAACTGCAAGGACGTGGGAACTTACGCCAAACCCCGGAAGTAGCACGAGCTTTCCTTACAGGTTGCTAGAACTTGACTGCACCGCGCATCATAGCGGGAAGAACTTGTGGTCGAGTGTTGTTTCCAATGACTCAACAGGAATACAGCAGGTTATTGCAGGTGGCGCTGATAGTAAAGTCACCGCTTCCCCGTTATTGCGCATCCTGCAGGCAGAGAAGAACTTACGTGGTGCGATCGCTGAGTATACTGTACACGACATATTATCATGGGCGCGAGTGGCCGAGCCTGATCCAAACAGGCCTGAATTTGTGGACGGTCCAAAGTTTCCAAGGAAAGCAGAGTTCTTCCGGAGCTATTGCTTTGTCGATGAAACCTCATTTCTGCTTACTACTAACTCTGGAAACGTACTTATCGGCGCCATTTCGTCCAGGACAGCCCCATGTCAATCAAGCCTCCTTTCAGACTCAAAGTTACTCGATGAACTGAAAGATCTTTCTGGTTATTCTGTCTGCACGAGTGGCTGCCGTCCTGGTTTCGCTTACATCGCTGGTAGTAGCGGCAACATCTACGTGTACAGTAAGGAGTCTAATACCCTGGCAAATCTGCATGCCATTGGTAGCAAAGTCGGAGACATCTTCGCTGTGGAGGTATCAAACACGGATGGTCCAAATACGGCGGCATTACTTGTGACCCTTGTTGGTCAAGGTGAAGCGCAATTGCTATACGTGGACCCTGATAGCAACACGAACGTTCTGAGAGTTGTGCAGATACCCATTGCAGAATCTTCGACCGGTTCGGTCATCACGAGTATGACTTATGCAAGAATAACCGGGAGAGACATTCTCATCATTGGGTTCCGTCAGGGTTCGATCGCACTGTATGAAATCCGTAAAGGTGAGGGGGTTACGGATGTTGCTATCTTGCTACGGATCATTGAGAAAGCACACGGTGCGGAAGCAGTCACTTCTCTTACATGGTGTCCCTCATCTGGAGGCTCCTTAGGCTCCGTACACGGCCATCTGTTCTCCGTAGGAAGAGATGGGCGTCTCAGCGTACACCAGTTCGATGCATCTGCAAACGTTGTCGAGCTGGTGCATGATCTTGCGGTACCATTCGGACCAAACATTGAAGGTTTATACTTCCAGGACGACCATCTCCTCATACACGGCTTCTCAAGCAAGAAATGGTATCTCTACGATGTCACTAGCGAAGAGCAAGTCATGAGCATCGAAACCGGAGGAGCGCATAGAAGTTGGGCCTTCCGGTCACATTCGTCGCTAGGAGGTATCCTAGTATGGACTCGAGCCTCTAGTATGCATATATGCAGTCAAAACAGACCGAATCATACTGTCGTTCGACGAGGGGGTCATGGACGTGAGATCAAGGCGGTCGCAGTTGCATCGGAGATGAACGGTAGATCTCACCCGCTCATCGCCACAGGCGCTGAGGATACCGATATCAAGATTTTCCGCCATGTTGATCATGATCTGATATGCCAAAGGACTATTCGCAAGCACACCACGGGGATTCAGCACCTACAATGGTCGCAAGACGGTGACTATCTTTTCAGCAGCGGTGGCTGTGAAGAATGTAAGGTTTGGGTACAACGCTGCAAAGCTGCTGCTGACTTCTTTCACAGTCTATGTATGGCGGATCCGGGACTTACCCGCCTCCGCTCTTGACATTGGAGTCGTGTGCGAACATGTGTACATGCCAGAAAGTGAGCACGCAGATTTGAGACTCATGTCTTTCGATGTGACCACATCGGGATCCACACATACTATCACGATGGTGTTCTCAGATTCCAGCATCAAGGTGAGCTGATCTCCGTATTCTCAATGTAGCATGGCGCTGATTTGACAAGATCTATCGTTATGATCCTGCCGCTACTGTCACATGGAAGCCTCTTGGAAAGGGTCTCTACTTTACATCCTGTTTGACACAGTGCATGTTCCTCTCTAGAGAAAAGGTCTTGACAGCTGGTACCGATGGCCATATTGTAGTATGGCCGCTAATGGCAGAAACCGAAGGATCGCGTGGAAGATCCACTGGGTCAAATGATCATTTGACATGGCATCATCCGGCAAGGATACATCAAAGCTCATCAAAAGCCATGACATCCCGAGCCATTAGTGCGGATACCTGGCTCATCGTATCCGGTGGTGACGATGGCAGTCTGGCGTGTGTACTCGCACAGTCTACGTCTTTGCCGTCGTCGACTTCGCCTACGACAACCCATGTTCCGCCACCCATCCTCGTCAGTCGCGCACATGGCTCTGCAGTAACGTCGTGCGCTCTCTTCAGACATAAATCACACATTTTCCTCGTCACATCAGGAAATGACGAGTGGATCAGATTGTGGCGGATTGTACTGCGAAAGGCAAACTCCGAAGCTGGAGCTGAAACTGCAGCACAGCATGAAGGCGCTCTGACGGTCCAGAGGATAAATAGAATCAAGACCAATGTTGCAGATGCGTCGAGTATGGCGGTGCTTGATGAAGGCAATGGTGGTGGCGATGCGAGGGTGTTGGTCTGCGGAGTGGGCATGGAAGTCATACGTATAGCTTTGAATGGGTGATAGACAATCGATAGGCATGATGGTCATTCGTCCGCACCCAAGTGTCTGCTGCTGTGAGTTTGCACAGGGGCGATTGGCGGCCAAGCGATCCATGGATTGTTGCTGGAGCAACGCGTGTCCCGATGCGGCTAGTCGTCGTTCGCGCTTTGACAACACAACACGGCAAGCACGTCCACAACCTCGACTGAACCAGTCTCACCCCAGACCGACAACGACATACCACCAAGACAGCGAACATTGACAGACATCATGGTCGCTACACGTCGCGGTGCGAAAACCGCCCCAGAGGTCGCCTCTGCACCCCCCAACACGCTCAACGCCCCTCCCAAGCGCGGCAGGAAGAAGGCAGTCGAGGAAGCTGCTGAGCCAGCGCCTGCCCCGGCCAAACCCACAAAGACAACTGCTGCGAAACGCAAAGCCAGGGCTGAGCCTGAGGATGTTGAGCCGCCCATGGCCAAGAAGACTGTTGCGACAAAGGCCGCGCGCACCATCAAGGTCCAGACCAGAGCCGCACCCGCCCCTGCTCCAGCAGTGAGGGCGACGCGTGGTCGCAAAGCCGAGGAGCCTGCCGCTACAGAGGAGCCCGAAGCCATTGAAGAGGCCCCTAAGCCAACAGCCGCCCGTACGCGCAAGATCGCAGCAGTGAAAAAGGCACCTGTACCCAAGGTCGAGAAGCCTGCTGTCGCCCCAGAGCCTGCCGTCGAAGAAACAGCCAAGCCAGCATCAAGAGCTGTACGCAAAGCACCCGCAAAGAAGACACCCGTTTCCAAGAAGAGCGAGCCTGCATTTGTCGACAAGACCGTCGCCAGCGAGCCTGCTAAGCCAGCTCCCCGTACACGCAAAGCAGCAGTGCCAAAAGCCTCCGCACCCGCACCCGTCATTGTACCGAGAGCCACACGCGGTCGTAATGCCCCTGCAGTCCCACAGGAGTCGCCGCTCAAGGCTCCGGCCCGCAAGCTCACAAAGAAGGCTGCTGTTGTCACTAAGGCGAAGTCTGAGCCAGAGCCGGCCGCTCAAACAGTCGAGGAGCCTGTTGCGGAGATCATCGAGCAATCTGTTGTAGAGGCAAACGAACATGCAGACATGGAAGAGGTGGAGCAGCCTGTCGTGGAGGCAATCGAGAAACCGTTCGCAGATTTCCCTACCTACCCGACAACCCCCTCCCACATCACTGCCCCCATGACCTCAAGAGAGGGCATCGCCGAGCTTCCCGGCTACCCCACGACTCCCTCGCATATCCTCGCACCTTTGTCGAACAAGGCCGCTCTTACCGAACTCGCAGGATATCCCACGACACCTGCGCATATTGCTGCACCTGTCGCAATCGCTACACCCGAGGTTCAGGCCGAACTCATCGAGCATGGGTATAATGATGTCGCCATGAGCGATGTTGAGGAGAAAGAAGCAGTCGACCAGATTGAGGCTTGTCATACTTCTACAGCTGCTGAGAGCGCGGTCGAGGCCACAATAGAAGTGCCAGAGGGCCCTCAGCACGTCGAGAATCCGCACATTACTGAAGAATTTGACTGCCAGGGCCGCCAGACTACGGCCGATGTCTCCTTGACACCGGATGCAAAGACCCAGGTATCGGTCCAGCTAAAGACACCATACTATGATGCGACGCCCGCCCAGCGTTCGTGTTCGGAGATTTCTGGCACTCCACCTGCACAGATCGTCTGGGGCGTCACCGATCAGGAAGCATTCGAGGAGCTTCCTGAGGCGTACCCTGCCACACCCGCCCACATCATCGCGCCCATCACCTCCAAAGCAGCACTGGCCGAACTCCCGGGTTACCCCAAAACACCAGCTCATATCAGCGCGCCTGTGACCTCCAAGGCAGCATTGGCCGAGCTCCCCGATTACCCCAAAACACCAGCTCATATTAATGCACCAATGACTCCACGTCGCGCTCTCGCTGAACTGCCCGACTACCCCACAACACCAAGCCTGGCTCTCGAGGCTGCTCTCCAGGAAGAGATCACTGCTTCAGTCAAGAAACAGACACCGTCACCTATACGATTCTCAACTCTGAAGAACGACTCATTCGATCTCGAGGAACCAAGCGAGCTTGCCGACTTCACTGAGCTCACTGAAGCTAGCAAATACAGTGAGATCGCACTCACAGACACAGCTGTCGAGGCTTCTCCTTTTATTACTAATCCAACCATGCATCTGGCTCCGCTCAAACTTGCACCTACTTTTGCAGCCCTCGAGCCAGTGTCACCGAAGAAGTCCGCCTTGCGATCACCTCAGAAGGTCATGGACGCTAAGACTCCTAAGAAGACTGTCGCTTGGACAGACGTTCCAGCAGACGAGAGCGATCTATTCCTCTACGAAGGCATCCTTCAGGGCATGGTCTTCTACGTCGATGTCACACGGAACGGTAGGGAGCAGAACTTCTTGTTCCGCGGTCTGCTCGAGGATCTGGGCGCAAAGGTAGTACAAGACATATCGCATGCGTCTCTTAGCCACGTTCTCTTCAAGGATGGAAGCATGTCCACACTGGAGAAGTGCCTTGAAAGCAAGGGAGCCATCAAGTGTGTCAACGTGGGGTGGGTGTTGGATAGTGAGTCAAACAAGAAGCGTATGGACGAAGACCATTACCTGGTCGACCTATCCGTTGCGAAGCCAGCCACTCCTCTGCCTACTACTACGGCGAAGCCATTCACACCTTTCAAGACTCCTTCCAAGTACGCGCTACCTCCTTCATCCCAGTGCAAGATGCCTAGCACTCCGACAAGTTCAGAGTTCGATCGCTCTTTCAATGACGACAAGGAAAACTGCGAAGTTGGCATGTTCTTCGACGACAAGAGCCCGCTTGCACCTCGCACACTTCCCGTCAAGAAGTCGTCTTTCTTGTTCAGCAGATCAGCCATCAAGACCCCATCAAAGTCCATCTTCCTTGGGGCGACGCCATCGAAAGCGACCTTGTCGGCTATGAAGCCTGCGCCTCAGGCCTTCACCACTGTCAAGAAGCGCCCCGCAGAGTCTTCCTTCTTCAACAGCTCCCTCGGTCCACCCAAGAAGCTGCGCCTCTTGTAGTCATGTCATCGATTCTGCTGGCATTCAAAATGCTTGTTTTGTTTACGGAGTTTGGAATATCATGCAGGCATTGGGTAGGCGTGGATGGATCAAGGTGTTTGGTATCCGTTTCGCAAAGTTTCGGTCGTGCTGTCGTCATCCCTGTCATCCCTTCATCGCGGCTTGAGGGTTTCCATTGAGTGCTGCCTCCCTTAAAGGGTTGGCCTTCGTGGGAATCCAACATAGCCAGATGAAGGGCGCACATATGGCGTCTTTGCATACCTTGGCTCTTGCTTGTTCATTGTCTTTCTCTTGTGCGGTTACATAGAGTCTTGCATGTTATGGATGGACGATGCTGTACGAAACACAGTTGAGCATTCTTGGCGTTCCTGGACACACGGGCACTCCAATGGAGACGACCACGATTAGGGTCACCTGCTTTTGTCTTATATTATTGTCTCGTTTCGATACGAATGACAGCACGAATGCTCCATGCTTTTACTCAATGGGTTGGGCTTGCGTAGGACCCACTGTCAACTGGCGGTCTGGCGAGTGACTAGTGTAATTCATTTATTGTACTAGCATTACTTCTCATTCGAGAGCGCTGGTCGTACGGGTATGAATGCAGTCCAATATCGTGCAGACGCAAACGCATCGAAAGTATCATCCCTGCAATATGTGCAGGAAATGCATACTTCATCCTTGATGATACCCAGCTCTTGCTCATGCTCTTATCCTAACGTATACTTGCACACATCACTCATTGAGCTACTAATTAGAGATCATTCGGGGTACAGAAGCACCTCTAGCCACATTTGCTACTCGGGTCAAACAAACCCCCAAAAACAGGCTATCGCGACGCCTAAAGTATATCAAACCCGTCTAAACCCAACAACAACGTAAAGGCTATAACACTAAGAAGCACTGTTTGGATCAAGCACCTTCTTCTATCACCAGATGCTCTTCCTAGTCGTCACCCAAGATAATCCTTCTTCTCCTCCAGCCACTCAACGGTCTGACGCTCTCCCTCTCCACCTCTCTCCCGCCAACCCTATGATAGCTTCTCCACTTCTCCTGCTCGGT